AGTTGTCAGTATTTACTGAAAATTCGAGAACGTGTCCATCCATCACTGTTCGTATTTCATTGCTGCACTCAATCAACGCAGTCAGTCTCATTATCATTGTAAACACACTACCCAGGGGGTCTACTTGTACTTCAGCTGAGCGGACGAATTATCAAGGGTTTGTCAAGAAATGCTGCAAACTGTAACTGTTTTACCCCAGAACGTAGATTTTCACTTTTGCGTCACGCTTGCTGTACACTGACTGATCAGTCATGTGTTGACCAGGACGTCAGTCGTCATGATACCGAATAATCAGAAGCGTTAGGCTACGTCCTAGCTTACGGAAACCGTGACATAACCTTGTGAAAAACAACCAAGTCCACGTGACCATCAGGCGCAAATAACCGTTCCCAACATGAGACAAAGCCGATCACGCGAAGAGAGCATGCAATAGCCGATGGGCGAAAACAACCTTGTGAGGAACGACCTTCATTCCTATTGGTCAGTTTGTGCGCGTGCAAACCGCGCATCCGAACTGGCTTTGCTATCACACCGAGTGTTATTTAAGGCCGTGAACGCGACTCCGCACCGTACTCCACCAAAATGGCGCTAGCTACCAACAGTCCGGCGGACAGCAAAACGCTTCTAGCGAGATACTATAGCCTGCCGCAACCTGAAGACAAAATTCAGTTGATGTATATTTGGATCGATGGGACAGGCGAGAATTTGCGCTGTAAAACGATGACTGTGGATCAGGAGCCAATGACTCCTGAAGGTGAGTGATCCCTGTACCGTATGGTAGTATGTAAGCCGAACTTTGCGTACACGTGGTCCTCACTAAGGAGAGGTATTACTGTTGAACTGACCTGCCATATTATGCACGTAAAAATGCATTACGTCTAAACGTAATGCATTACTCATGGGGTTGCTGAAAGCTCTTCGACAACCCACGACCGATTTCGCCCTTCTTGGGGCCCATCAGGTAGGCGCAGTTCCCGAGTTTACATCAACTTCACGTCCTAGTCGAACCCGAATTGTACGAGATTATCGGAATACACTCATTTGACGGGAGATTCACCTGGAACCCAGCTGAATCTCATCGTTTAGAATGTTGAGGGACTGAATATGCTGCAAAAAGGTCGCATCATGTTTCAGTTGGTACGATATTGAAGATAGCGCGATACATGTGTAGACGCAATACATTACTCATAGGGTTGCTGAAAATTCTCCGACAGTCCAGGACCGGTCTCGCCCTTCTAGGGGCTCTTCAGGTAGGCGCAGTCGTCTAGTTTCCATCAACCTTGTGTTCTACTTGAAAATGAGAGAATAAGCTGGGTTCCTGTTGAGTCCCCTGTCAAAATCAAATTGGTTTGCAAATGAGTGTGCTTCGGTAAAACTGCCTTACTTTATCGGTGCACTCAACACAATCTCATCCAAACTTTAAGTGATTTATGATCCGATTATGTGAACAGGTTAGCTCATTCTGGTCATAGGAGTTATGTGAGACAGTCTAAGCGGTGGTTCTCAAGTTCCTTTCAGTGAGATTTCGATGGCAATGCAGACCAGAGTTTCGCAGGCGCAAGCTTCAATTTCGAGTATTTGTCACCTCACGTTTGGATCAAGCAAATTTTATCTATCCAGTTGAGTTGGTTTTAACACGAAACTTAGCTGAATCCCAGTTGAATCTCGTTTGTGATTCAGTTACGACGTGCCGCTAAATGACTACGAACTGGTAAGGGAAATTTTGGAGCAAATCGCTTAGCTCAGCGAAGAGAACAATTTTGGTTCTTGAAGTACAGCCCCCACAATCTCCGCGTCGTATTTCCAACACTTTAATGACCATGGATGTACCCAAGTGTACTGTTTGATTTGCACTGTACAATTTCTGTTCATTCGAAGCTGACCGTGGCTGCTTCAATTCTGAAGAACTTTCAGCCGTCTTCAAAATTACTTCATTTGAATTGCACTGTGCTCTGCTTCTCTTCATCCTTAGCCTGTGTGGTATGGGAGATACACACAGAGTGGCGTTTGGTCGAAAACTAAATTCGTCTGCTTTGGGTCGAATGCCTTCCAAGTGGCTAGAGGTGTTTCGCAACCCTTGGGCCGACATTTTAGTCTGGGTTCAGTCAGTATAGAACACTGTCTGTACGAGATGGCTCAGTAGTTTGAGCGCAAATTTGCTGACCGAAAGATCCGTGGTTCTAACCCGACCTCTGCATCCCGACTTCCACTGCCTAAGCTTGGGTAACCTGACAGTATCCCAGCCTTCGTACTTCCTTCGGATAACATGGCAGATAGGTACCGAAGGGGTGTTACAGCTGAACGATTATTACCAGTTGACTGAATCGTATTTGGTCCACCCGATCTGACTGAGAGTTGAAACTGAGAATGCAGCTTTGAGAAGATCGAGAGTCGAAAACAGCTGCAGACAGCCCTCCACTCGGAGCCAGAGAATGGAAACCGTATTATTACAAGCTATTTTGACGGCATTGTGAAGGGGTTCCCAACTGAGATTTCGTACTATCAGTGGAGCCTATCTCTACTGGAAAGATGAGAAGCATTGTACAACTGTTTCCTCCCTATTTTAATTATCAGCTGTGCACATCTGACAAAGCTCAAACCCGCCAGTGAACGCTTTATCGTTCGTCCACGAATGACTGAACAGCCATATGATTAGGTCTCGCAAACTACTTCGTTCTTACTCGATGGAGTGGTGGTAAACTTCAGGGGTTGGCACTGGGTGGTTATTATTACTACTACTAATCAGTATCAGTAGTATTAACACTAATAATGGTGGCACTCCCGGTCAAAACAGAGTCAAACTATGAACCATACTTAACCGGTGGTCCTGCTGTATTTGCACCCACATGCAAAGTTCCTGGAATATCATGATGCTTGCCAAGAAGGTGCGAAAGGCTACTTACACAAATTCAGTGACCTCATGAATAAGTGCTTCTATGTGCAGCCGTGTCTTGGAAAACCGTGTGATCCTGTTGCAGCCCTTTAGGTTATCAGAGTGTCATACGAGTTAGTAAGAGTAAGGCAACATCTGTCTGAAATCGATCAGCTGGTGCCATCGTAACGACACTCTCTTCATGGCTTTGAACAATCCTTTTAGATAGCCATGGTTTTTTAAGATAATAGATGCAAGAAATTTTGGAAGTCCATCGCCGATGCCCTGATCTCAAAATCTCATATTTTAACCTCAGTCATTATGAAAGTGTGACTGTCCCACTGGCGTGCCCCTGTACATTACCGAAGCCCCACATAAATAGTATCATTAGACCACACCTTGTCAACATTAGCATCTAAGGAGTACAGTAACTAGTCGGGATTCACTGTCCCGTATCTTGAGTACCAAACCGTAGTTTCGAGGTACCTGTTTCATTCTACTTCGTACCAAAGAACGAAAATTGTTGACATAGATCCCAAGGTTTCATTTTCGTCAAGAATGTTGTAGCCAGTTTATAGCGGTTTCCTCTCAAAAGAACAATAGCGCTCCTTTTTGGAAGTCCAGTGGATGATATTCAAGTGGGCGATGGGAACCATAGCGCCAAACTGGGCTGTTGATGGGTAGAGTACTTATCGGAATGGTAGGAGGCGACCGAGTTCCAGACAGACTTCGCACCATACTGACAGTCTATTCCTGCGATTAAAACGGCCGTTTCGCCAAACATGCAAACGTAAATAAACAAAACCACAGTATGCTTGAAGTTATGGGTTCCTGTGATTTTGTGCAGCTAAGCGGCATGTGTCCAACCTTGTAAACAACGATCGAAAAGTGCATGCAATAAACTAAACGAGCGGAGACGTATTGGTTATAAAAATAGCTTTGTCTCACGATCTATTGATCCGGATTCTCGTGCGAGTATCCGATTCACCCACGTATACACAAAGGGGGTGGGTGGGTGCGTGCGGTGAGGGTGAATTTACTCGGCTACGGTGTTTCATGTTTGTTTATTAATGCTGAACTATTAGGTGTAAAGAATAATCATATGGATTATGTATACTGAACAACAACAATAGGGCACTTTACACAAAATCGCTTTGTTACGGTAGACGAATAGGGGAGAGGATGGAATAGATGAGAACCTAAGCAAAACTATTTGGGTTAGCACAATAGTCTTAGTGGATACTGGAGACAATTATCGTATCTGGTTGTCGGTTTCTCATTACAGCTTGTTTGTCAAATCCGGAGATGGTTATAGAGTTGGGAATGTTTGTAAGAAAGTGATTCGGTTTGGAGACGGCAATAACACACGACAGACAGTTAAGCACGCAAAGGGTTAGGTGGCACACTACTCATAAGGTTGCTGAAAATTCTTCGACAACCCACGGCTGGTTTCCCACTTCTTGAGACTCATCATGCAAGCGCAGTCCCCGAGTTTCCGTCGATCTTATGTTCTACTTGAAATCAAATTGCACGAAATTCCCGAAATACACTGGTGCAGCACATTCAGTTGCCTGGATACATCACAAACGAGAGACTTAGCTGGGTTCCATCTGAGTCTCTCGCAAAACCAAATTTCTGTGCAAATGAGTGTATTTTATGGGTTAAGTGACTTCAGTTTGGCGCTCATGCATCCAAGCTGTTGCCTTCAATGCATAGCTCCCCTCCCAACCCCTCCCAACTTTACAGTCCACCTACAATATTTACACACTGATTTATCAGCTCCCGCCTCTAATGCGCAGCTACCTACCCCACCTCCCCGAATCATCGGTGAACGAAACTGTGGCAGCTACAACCATGTACGACCAGTACGCGGTTATTACAGTTGAGAATGATGATGATAATGATTTTGGTAAAATGTATGCATACTTCCGGCAAATTCGCACGTGTCGATTATTTCACCTAGTGATCAGAAAGGGTCAATATGACGTGAAATTTCCTTGGTGCCTGGCTCTATGCGTCGAGAACTCCTTGCTCACCAGGATGAGGAATAGAACTATTTCCCGAATAACTCGTTTCACTAGTCTACTGCGTGACATTCCTTGTCTTCCACTCATCCTACCAGATTGTCGATGGTGGAACTTTGACGGAAGCAGTACAGGACAAGCCGAAGGTTCAAATTCCGATGTCTATCTGAAGCCATGTGCCCTATTTCGGGATCCGTTTCGGGGCGGCAAAAACAAACTGGTTTTGTGCGAAACCTTCACCTACGATATGCAGCCACACGGTACGGCTTTTATGCTATTATCTTTCATCATGCTCGTACAATGTTGTTTAATTTTAATGTGAACCAGTGTCATTCATCCTTTGGGCAGCTTCTCTAGACAGAACAATTTAGATTGTTTACAGAGGCAGGACGTAAACACTTGGGACAGACCGTTCTGAATCACGCAAATCGACGTTTGCTTAGGGCATCTTAATTAAGCTGGTGAAATTTCCCAGCGATTCCACCACTGCGGTTTAAAATATTCTATTGGTTTACGCCTGATGGAGACATCGAACCTGACGAGACACTAAGCTTCATTCAGTAGACTGAATCGAATTCCTTTTATTGGTGGTTTCCTAGGGAAACCATACATCTGTCATGTATTTCGGTCGATCGCTAGCCACGGGATACAACACAATCAGCCCGATTAGGTTCATCGGACCGGTCGACACCTCTCCCGATTAATGGAATTGAACGCTGTTAGAAGAAATCTAAAGGGTATTTAGGTTAGTTTCCAGAGTATGTCGTGCTGTTCCAGACAACTGGCATGTCGCAGTAGCGTCGTTTTTTATTAGTAGTGGCCTATAATCTATTCATTCAATATTTCAGCCACCAACCACCGACATTTATGCAATATCGTCATGGAGAAAGCCAAAGAATTTGAACCGTGGTTTGGCATCGAACAAGAATATGCTATGATGGATACCGACAGCTACCCACTACAATGGCCAAAGAACGGTTTTCCTCAGCCACAAGGTGAGTAAAACGTGACAAGCTCATCAAGCTTTCAAAAAATGCCGTTCTTTGTGTGTCTAGTGTCATTCAGAAAGACTTTATGTGGGGAAAGTTAACTCATCTTTTGTACGCATTAAACATCTGAGTGCAAGACTGGTGGCGATGATCAGGTGATCGCTACTGATGCGTCAGTTTGCCTTTTATCTAGGAATATTGAGTGTGTTTTTTCACGTTGTTTGGCTCTGATTTCTAACTGGTAGAACTGCTTTAACAAACAGTTGAAGGGTTAAACAATTTTCTCAAGGCTTCTCATGCTGGCTCATCCGTACATAGTTCGAGTCTCAGGGCTAACAAGTGTCAGGCGGGACGAAATGATTGTCCACTGTTTCCCTGCTTACTTTCACCAAAAACTATCAACTTTACCCGTGTGTGTAGCACGGTTCATGTTCTCTCTTTAACATAGAAACTGACCGCTGTTAAGCATCTAGAGTGCGAAATCGATATTTACAAAACGCGGAATATACTCATTTGAGTTAGTGTTAACAAGAGACTCGACTGAATGTCAGTTGAATATCTTATTTATGCTATTGTGCAACACAAAGTCCGTTTCTCATTTCATTTGGTACGATATTCGAGATATTGCAGTCTACTTACTTGGTGAAACACACTACTCATAAGGCTGCTGAAAACCCTAGGAAAGCCCACGACTGGTTTTGCCCTTCTTGGGGCTCATCAGCAACACTTAGTCCCCAAATTGAAGAATAGCACAAGCGTGTACTCCATCTGTCCTCATGCGCGGGCAAACCTTTCGCCTGCATATGAGTGTTAGTTGTAGGCCAGCTAGTTGTTGGCCTGTTCGCCCAGCTTGGCGGTTTGTTTGCAGACGTTTCGTCACCAATCATCGTGGACACTGTCGGTGCATGGTGATGATGTTCCCACGATTCGTGACTGCGCTCAATTAACCACGCACCGAGGATAATCTCTCGATTGATGATAAAGTGTCCGGACGCAAATGTAAAACTCGGCAGCCAGGTTAACAGTCAACCTGATCTACGACCAATTAGCGCTCCCGAGCAACCAATATTTCGACAAATGAGTGTGTTTCAACAATTGTGTAGAGCACGGTAAACAACACTTGCTGATGCCGTGTTAGTTACAGGAAGCTAAAGGTAGTCGGGCTTCTGGTCTTGTGACAGCTCCAAGCGTATCGGGCAGCACGTGACCGACCGAGTGATTAGAAGCAATAGTCAATTCAAAGTCGAAAATCACGTGACAAGCTGCGCGCGCGCGCTCGCGTCACAACTTTGTTGTGGTAAAACGAATGAAATTTCAACAAAAGAGCTACGATTCATTTATGTTCAAGGTCCAAAACCTCGATTAGTCATCTTTCTTAGGCTGTGCTTACCAGTGAGGTGAACAGATGATTGTGATGAAATGTTTTAGCACCTATCGATTGTTGTTCTGTTTGACGAGTTTGGCAAACGTTTTGTTCGGTGGCCAAAATACAACCGGACAAGCTTGAAGTTAGGGGTAATCTGTTTTGGATGTGCTTGTAAGCCTGAATTAAGGTGAGCGGTTGATGGTAATCCACGTTTGCATGTTGTATTCCTGTCCATGATGATTAGGTTGATGATTCGTTTTCCCGTCGCAGGGCCCTACTATTGCTCTGTTGGAGCTGGCAAGGCACTGGGGCGAGACGTACTGGAAGCACACTATCGCGCTTGTCTCTATGCCGGAGTGGAAATTTGTGGTACTAATGGGGAGGTCATGCCCTCACAGGTAACCTATTCAGACATGATTCGGGTGTGCTTGTGTTGTTAGTTGATTATGCTACTGTTGTGGCATGGCGCACTGCCTGTTCTTCGAAATTACTCGTTTGTTTTATTTGCTCCTCGTTCGTCCGACCTATGCCTTTATTTACCTCATGTTTTGGCAACCTGACAACTAGTTTTCACCTCGTTGGAAAGAGGATAAGAAACGCACACTGTTGGTAATCCCGTAGGTGAGGTCACAGTAGTAACTGGGCCAAAGCTCTTCAAGTGCTTGTGCGCCCACAAAAATCAGCTAACGTAAACTATGACTTGGTAAATACTAAGTAGCTCAGAACTAGGCTTCACAGTCTAGTTGCGATCTGACTTCCCACTTGATAAACGGTTCTGGTTTTGACGAATGTCTGACTACCAGCTCATTCAAGTGTGGATCGCTTACCGAAGAGTATGGTTCTCGAACATTCGCAGAATTGTGTCCCGTAGCAACTCGCTGTTTGTCACAGGGAAGTTTCGCTGCTTGGGACGTTTGTAAATGGTATGAAACTGGTTCAACTCTGATCACTTTCTTTACATGATAATTGATCGCATCGCTCCTTTCTATGACCACCACAGGACTCGCTGTATAATTCTTTGACTCGAGAGTATAAATCGCTTCTGTGTAAAGTCAATATCATGGACACATTGACTCAAGGAACTGACAAGAACTGACCGCGTCAACGAAATCTGCTCTACATTCATTCAGAGGGTTGTAACCACAACCGTAATATGCCAGAGTTTCTTCGGTAGTATGACTTCACTAGGGACAGGAGAGCATCTGGACTCTATAGAGTAGATTGCATAATTTCGTTGCGAGTTATGTTGACTAGCTCAGATTTGCCTATGTAATGATGATGAGGAAGCGAAAAGGATTTCTTTGTACAACTGAACATTCTCGTTCCATCTGTGGATGTATTCCGTCAGTTATTGACGAATGATTGATATTGCTATTGCAATGAGAAACACCATAGTTCCTCGTCAGTCTTCGAAATCCTGTATGAAAGATGGTACACTCACAGTGTTTATCGTACATGTTCCAAACCAGTTAGTTCATCGTTAGCACCACCCAGTCAAGGAAAGTCTCCCTAGTTTTCTCTGCTTCTTGTTGCTATTGTTGCTAAGACGCGTGGCTTGCGGTAAACATTAAATCTTCCTTGCTTAACAATGACCTCGTCTTGTGTTCAGTGGGAATTTCAAATCGGCCCATGTGTGGGTGTTGCAGCCGGTGACCATCTGTGGATGGCGCGTTTTCTCCTGCACCGAGTAGCCGAGGATTTTGGCGTCGTGATCAGTTTTGATCCTAAGCCCATGCCCGGTGACTGGAATGGGTCTGGGGCGCATACAAACTATTCCACAGCCTCAATGCGTTCTAAAGAGACGGGCATGAAGTGAGTCTGCGCAGCTTGTCCCCAGTTTTTTTTCCGAAAATTCTTCCGGATAGCAACATTGGTTTGGGATGGCAAATAGCAAAGCTTAGAAAATCACTTCCTGACACATTTTGGTACGTTTATCTCGTTGGTCCACTGATTAAAGCTCTGAGAGGGGTGGGGTAACTCGCTTCCTAAGTTAGATATTTTCAGAGATGATGAGAGACTACTTCCAGGATTCGTGAGCAGTTTACATGTTGAAATGTGGTTTCTCAAATTAAAAAAATAATAAATTACTAAACTGATTTTCTAGACTGGTAGCTGGCTAGAGCCATTAATGGATTTCAGCTGAAGCCTCTAGTGATTTCTGCAATGCACTACTCATAAGGTTGCTGAAAACTCCTCGACAGCCCACGACCGGTTTCTCCCTTCTTGGGGCTCATCAAGTAGAACATAAGGTTGACGAAAACTCGGGGACTTGATGAGCGAAACCGGTCGTGGGCAGTCGAGGAGTTTTCAGCAACCTTATAAGTAATGCATTACAAAAATATATATGTATCGCGATATCCCAAATATTGTAGTGACTGGAACATAAGGCGGCCTGGTGCAGCACATTCAGTTGCCATCTTCTAGACAGAAAAACCAATCGTAAATGGACGCATGTTGTTCTTAGGCCAGGTCTTCCACCTGAAGCGACTGGTTAGAACCGCTCCCATCAGTAATCACCTGGGTGTTAATTTATCCAGGTGTATTACAACTGCGAGACTAACTGGTTGACATGCTTCACTACTTTACCTCCTTGGTTTTTATTTCTTTCACCATTTGTTCACTTATACTCGGAAACTTTCACCCCCTTGCGTTGTCCGTTGTGTCTCAGTCAGATGCCCCGTTTGAATGGGCTGCTCATTCGAATCACCAGCCGTCCATGCAACGCGAACATAGCTCAGAAATCTCTCTGACATTTGAGTGAAATAAATAATAGACCAGAGAGTCCGATTTGGTAGACACAAACATGGTGCGTCCTTACATTGTGTGACGGATTGATTTGTTTACTTCTCATTCGTAGTGCAATCTAATCTAGCCAATCAACTCCATCGAGTTTGTACTATTTCACGGTCACAGCCTGTTTTTCGTTTGCTTCAGTTAGTGTTCTAGTTCGGATAACGAGACATGTTTAGGTGGCAGATGAGGGAAATAGCTTGCACGTGCCTAAACCCACCAATGGGCTATCGGTCACGTGAAAACAAGCATCACAAAGTCAACGGACGCATCTTCGAACACGGGGCCTATCGCAATCACACCAGATTCACGTGATACTGACAGGGGCACGTGAGTGTTCATCGTAGATTTAACTGTAGTTTGTTGCTGATCCAGTTCCACTTACTACATGCCTCGTAACATTCACGAAAGGATGATGGATAAGAGTTTAACATTTTTTCATTGGTTAAACCATCCTATCTTCATATCCTCTTAACTGCATAGCCACATTACGTTTTTGTCAATCGTGTGGAATGTGGGTATTATTCTACAAAGATGTCCTCAAGAATGGAAACAAGTCGGGGGCTGAGTAGAATTCACATCATAGTCACTCAGTATGAAGTGTGGTTTCAAGGTCATTGATTGATGGAGGGACTTTTACGACCGCAACTAATCAGCCAGAAGAACACGACTTGTGGCGCGACATCTTGGATAGGGAGGATATAACGTCGAGGTCATCTCTTGTTATGGATTTGCACTTGTACTGAAGAAATTTCGGTTAGATGTCACATAAAGAACAGATATATAGATAAGAACTATACTAACATCACTAATTACGAGTAGAACACCTGATCTCTTCTGGTTGTGTAGGTTGTTTGGAATTTTCACCCACTTCATTGTTGTAGAGCCCGTACCATTCCCTCTAATGCTTGTTAACTCCCAGGCTCTCATTAGTGCACCATAGGTCTTCAGATGTTCGACAATCGTTATCTCAGTACCGTAGCTCGTGTGGGCTGGTGTCGGCGTATCCGTAACGAGACAGTTAGAAAGCGCGTTTTCGGTTGTGCAACGGGTACTTCCATAGAAGAATGTGTCCAGCACCAGAAGTTGCGTTGGTTGGGGCATGTGTTGTGTATGCCTAACCATCGTTTGCTGAAGAGAGTGCTGTTTTTTATGCCCAATTCAAAGTGGCGAAAGTAGAGAGGCTTCCAACCCTTGACCTTGCAGAGGTGTACGAAAGAAATAGCGAAACGTTTGGGTGCTGTTGATGGTACTCGCCTTCCAGGATGGGGACCGCGTTATCCTCATTGCGCCTGGTCGGAGACGCTGCAAGATATGACTGCCAACCGATGTCGGTGGCGATCTTGTTGTCAGTTTCTAATCAGATTGCCCGAACGAGTATTTGGAGGTGTAGGCATCTTGGAATGACTATAGTAAGCCAGCACTAAGACCGTTTCCCATTCGTCGTTATTCTTTTCTTCACAATAAGAATTTCAAATAAGTCATGGTTGTACGGCAGCGAAGCATCGGTGTTGAACACATTTGAGCTCAAGTCACATAACTGCTCTGTATATTTCTGGAAGCAATTTTCACTCTCAGCAGGGTAGATTGGTACACTTTTCGGTTTGTCTGTTAGGTACCACGATATGATCATAGATAAAAGATCAGTTGGGAAGCACCACCAGAAAGTGTGTATAATAAACCGCGTTAGGACGATCAATTGAACTACATGGTGCACATGGTCCAGTGACGTTATTTCGAAAGTCCAGTTTATCTGGCGTAATTAGTTTGTGAAAGGTTTTTTTATGAGGTAGCCAAAAGAAGTAACCGATCGGGTAACTGTTCGAGTCCCCTAGAAACGTGCAACCTGCTTTAATCTGTGCACGAATAGCAATGGGCCTGTGTAGATTTTTGGCCACACTAGTCGCAGTTATCCGACGTGAATTGAAGTGCCTTTCGATCCTCAATGACTTTTGTCACCTGGGCTGGGTTCGCACTTCAGAGGTCGATTAGCAAAGAGGATGTGACCAGCGAATATACACTCGTTTGCAAACTAATTTTTTTTTCGAGAGACTCACCTGGAACCCAGCTGAATCTCTCGTTTGTGATGTTCTCAGGCAACTGAGTGTGCTGCACCAGGCCGCCTCATGTTTCAGTCGCTACGATATTCGAGATATCGCGATACATGTATATCTTTGTAATGTGCTACTCATAAGGTTGCTGAAAACTCTTCGACATCCCATGACCGGTGTCGCCCTTCTTGTGGCTCATCAGGTAGGCGCAGTCCCCGGGTTTCCGTGAATCTTATGTTCTACTTGAAACTAAATTGCACAAAACTGGTGAAATACACTAATTTGCAAACTATTTTGTTTTTTTTCGAGAGACCCACCTGGAACCAAGGTGGATCTCTGGTTTGTGATAGTTGCTGATCAGTTAGCAGTTTTCTTTTAAACTGCTGACCAAACCGGTCAACTTCACACATTTTATATTATCCTCGATGGATGTAGCATCTGACCATTACTACTACTATTACAGTTATCATTACTAAATTTAATTTGCCTCCATATAGGGCGATTGAAGAGGCTGTCACCAAACTCGCACTCCGTCACATGGAACACATTCAAGTTTACGATCCCAAAGGTGGGGCGGACAACAGTCGCCGGCTGACTGGTCAACACGAAACCAGTAGTATCTATGGTTTTTCTTCCGGTAAGTAATCAAGAGGTATTTGCGAATACAGTGTGGTGATCGACGAGCTACCCTGCCTGACAGATTTTTGACAAAACCTGGTATTTTCTCTCTCCTCTCCAGGTGTGGCCAATCGAGGCAGCAGCATCCGAATCCCACGTCAAGTTGCCGAGGACGGCTGCGGTTATCTTGAGGACCGTCGCCCGTCTGCGAATTGTGATCCTTACTGTGTGACTCGAATCCTGGTTGAAACAACGTGCCTGTGATTGTGCTGCGGGATAAGCGAGGTTCAGTTGCTTTCCGTCAGGGTCATGCCAATTGTGTTCACAACTATGGTTTCCCGGTTCGCCCATGGACATTGTTTTTTACTCATTCTGAAAAATTTCTTTAGAACTCGTGCTATTAACTTGTCATTGACTAGCGAAATCATTTCACAATGCAGCAGGATTTTGGTAACCAGGTTACCGGTAGTTAGTTGTGTCATGTGTGCTTTCATCTATTTTTTGTACCGAAAACTACTCTGTCCATCGCATCGCTTACGTAGAAAAAAGCATCATTTTTATGTTCAACACAGCCTTGTTCTTTTCGATTAAAAGGGCATTGTACCCTAGTTTAATGACGCTCGTTGATGAAAACTTCGGGGTACTCATCAGGTAATAGTGAGTTAGGTGCTTTTGACTGCTTCTGACTCATACGGTTGGGCTCAAGGAGCATTCAAGTTCACCCGTCAAACGACGGCTTGACAAAAATGATCTATAGGTGAATGGATACTTTGAATTTTTAGTCCTGCGAGAGATATCAGCCCAAAAAAGCGGCGACGCTTCATCAAAATATCGATTGTTTTGTTTTCGAGATTTCCACCTCATCTCCAAAACGAGGGTCCTATCCCATTAGTTTTATTGATATTAAATGTTTGAAAACTAGCGAATATACACTCATTTGCAAACTAATTTGTTTTCTTCGAGAGACTCACCTGGAACCCAGCTGAATCTCTCGTTTGTGATGTTCTCAGGCAACTGAATGTGCTGCACTAGACCGCCTCATGTTTCAGTCGCTACGATATTCGAGATATCGGGATACATGTATATCTTTGTAATGTACTACTCGTAAGGTTGCTGACGAATTTTCGGCAACCTTACAAAGATATACATGTTTGAAAACTACTTTCGTGAACATCTTTTCGAGGGAAAACAGTCAGTTTTTCATTTCCATCATTGTTAATAAGTGGAAACCTTCTCATGGTTTGCACTTTATCCATTTGGCCTCGTTCAGCCTTTCGCTACGTAGCATGCTTTAAATCGATACCAAAGATTACGTTCATTTCATCAAATGGGTTTCCTACATCATTGTGAGTTTTTTCTATCCCTTAGTAATGTTGCCCGTCACGTGTTTGTTTACCGTTACGGCGAACACGCAGCATAGACAGTGCACTGTACAGGACGAACAATGAGCAGATATGCACGTACCACATGATGTAGCGAACAAAGTTTATCAAAAACTTGGATTGTCTTGACGTTATAGATCTTCATCTGTCCCATGCATTCGCAACATGTGTTGGCTGACTTCAACCGTTCTGATTGCCCATTGATTTTATTGCCGAAATGGCATAAAGCCTAAGGATTTTTTGCACCTGGATGGACGAATTGGTTATTAACCTAGAAACCTGGAAACCAAGACGGAATTGCTCCATCTTTTATTCTAGTAACACGTGGGGGGGTGAAAACGGTTTCAATCGGTGTTTGGGAAATTAGCTCCTTGTCGTCACAATGACAGCCGTTTTTACCTGAACCAGTGACGTGGACGTTGCATAACTTGTTGTTTTTATCTGACTGCTTTTTGACGGTAATAACGTCATGGGAAAAGACTGGCGTCCGACACCTGAGCTAACTTCTTGCTTTATTCCGCATTCGTTAGCGTTGAATGAGTTTATTCGTCAATGCTCAAACTTTCCGAGATTAATTGGCGATCACGACAAAAAAGTCAGATAATATATTATCTCTCTAGGTCAATCTTAAGTGGTTAATGTTGTGTCGTCCGGAGGTAACCCGTCAACTCGCGTAAGGAAGAAGCCAAAGTCGAGCACAGGAACAGGTCTTTTTTTGTCGCTAAATAATGCGGTTATATACATCGGAAAATGGGTTAATATATCTTCCCCATCAGGATTAAAACCATAGTACTTTTGCTTGCTGGCTGGGACAACCTCTTTTGTATTGTCACAGTTTACCTGTCTCGGGGAAAACACATGTCCGATAGTCATCATCATTCTGATAGACCAATCAGAACAGGTCACGTGACTGAGGTGGACAGTATTCCTTTGGGAAATTTGAAACACTCTCTCCTTTTATTCATCTCATTAGGGTCGATAGAAGACATGCTGCGATATGTGGACATTTACTATCTTAACTCGTGGACGCAAAGCCTTCAAGTTAAATTGGAACGGGTCTGTGACGCCACATGCAATTTTAGTGAGTGGTACTCATATTCTAGGCATGCACACATCTAATTACGCTTACTTGCACAACATCACTGAGGACTCACAAATAATTGCAATGTATGCCCAGGCCCACATCAACAAAGCTCGTAACACCCTATGCTTTAATGCGATTGTTCGTGTTCACCAATCCGATAGTTTTCTTCTACCTCCTGAAGACATGGATTGGACCACACCCGAATGCTTATTGATCAGCTGGCTGTTAGTCTGTTTGCGGAACTTGTAAAGTGGCCTTCTAATGTTTCGTCACCAGTCGAAGAGACATGGGTAGGGCTTGGTTGGGCGGACTAATAGTGTCTCCTCAACTGGCGAAGAAATGCTTGCTAACCGACTGCCAAGTTAGTCAAACACATTAACAGTCACATGACCGAAAACCCAAAAAAATACCTGAGCTGCCAGTTATTCGAACATGAACCAAGCATTTGTTCACTGATGTTGCAAAAAGACTAGCTGCACTCAAGGATAACCTCTTTTTCTAAATTCAAGCCCGTCCGGTTTTATTACTATATGATTAAACATAGACCTGGGAATTCCGAAATCGGTTAGTGCACAGGAATGCGAGTTCGGTGCAAAATAACCCATACAAATCGTCCTCGTTTCTGCTTATGTGGATGCATGTTCACGCGGCTGAGTTGGCCTACCATGGACGTCACTCAGCCAACGAGGCCAACACGGATGTCTGGGCAGCTAGACTCGGAAGCTGACTGATGGGCTTGTCAGAGCGATAGACAGGTGGGACGTTGCCACAGCAACAAAAGCGGAGCACGCGCATCTGATGCTTTTGACAACGTGTGCTGAATCAGATCAGTATACATCGATAAAAGCCTGAGCGTCGCGGCGCGGTCACTGAACGCCTTGAACGATCATGTTCACTTGTTGTCAGGCCGGTAGGTTCTCAGGGTGAAGGATAAACCCCAGAGGACTGGAGACTTGTGCAACATCAAGAAGAGCGGCATAACTGGCTAAGTGACGGATAGATTCTTGCGATCTTTTCCAGATAAGCCCTGCCACTAATGCAAAAAGTGCATATGCGAAAAGTTAAGCCCCGCCACTTTTTGCCAGCTCCAGCACACCTTGACCGCATCTAGGCTCATTTTGTGCAAAAAATTTCTCCGTTAGGAAGGAAAGCCTTAAATGAACTTTCTGACGCTTTCATGACAAGGAGACGGCAATATGTTTTTTGCGGCGGCCCACATCTACACGTCGAGACTGATGAAACGCTAATATCTCGCTGTAAAAACCACGCAGGGCGAGTCCCTCCCCAGCAGTGGATTTTTGGAGGGATCTGCAGGGAAACTAAAGAGGTGTTCATGTATGCAGTGCCAGATCGAACTGCGGCCACTTGGACACGATCCAGGCTTGCACCGCTCCCGACTCAATCATCATCTCCGATACGTGGGCAGGCATCCAAGGAATGGAAACGATGATTGACATGAATTCTACTCATGAAACGGTTAATCATAAGGAAAACTTTGTGGACCCAACGACTGGAGCTCACACACAAACCACTGAATCTCTTTGGCACGTCTACAGGATGCAGAATAAGCGCCAATGCGGCACACACCGATCTTTAGTGGAGAGCTACTTGTGTGAGTTCGTTTGGAGGCAAAGGTACCGAAAAACGGACCTTTTCATGCAAATTATTAATGACATGTCCCAATTTCATCCTGTTCAATAAAAACTAAAAGTACGAATTTCATATCCTCTTTTTTCTAATCTTTTTTTGGATGGCGGGGGTTAATTTTTTGGCGGGGCTTATCTGGGAAAGATCCGATTCTTGGCTTACCCGGTTGTCTGAGAACTCTGAGACAGTTCGATTGGTGTATGCAAAGAATATAACACAGCTCACGGTATGCCAATCAGAAAATAATGTAACATAGTGGCTACCATCGATCTAGTGAACTCCATTTGGAATGTTTACACATTACTGATTCGGAAAAGTGACCCGCGCTTTTCACTTGGTTTGTGGGTCATATGGCTTGGAGATGGATGGAACAGTGTTTAACTCGCACGCTAAGTCAGTAGACCCTCATCCTCGAGTGGTGTCCAAACCCTGCAGACATAGATGCTCCTGCGTCGAACACAGTAAAAACTCACTATGAGCAGGATTCACCGGACGGAATAATGCTGCACCTTTGTTTTACTCGCTGTGCCCGAATCGTTCGGCAGTAACCGGTTCGGAAATCGGTGGATCGTTTGATTGGCCTGCTAAATCACCAGTCCGTTGACTTTTTTCTCTGGGGTGTGATCGGGACGTACGGTTTACGAGATTAGGCTGAGGGCGCTGAATGACAACATTCTAGTCACATGTAGTGACACTATGCAAGACACTACTTAACTTGGACATCGTAAGCGATTCTTCATTAACGTGTTTTATCCTGTAATTCCCCCCCCCCCCTGTTGTTCAACAATAACGTCTGAAAACAAGTTTCCTTGAAATAAACTCGTATCGAAAATGATGGTGATCTCTGACGGCCTGGATGTTCCTAGCTCGAGCAGAAATCTGGAGTTTAGGGTAGAAGAGCTATACGTTGCGTGTGGTAGTTAAAACCAAGTGGTCTTTCGGTGCAGACATGATGAATTTAGTGTAGTTAAGGAGAAAACAATCGATTCTCCAAAGAGCTTCGGCTATAATTCGCTTAGGGTGATTTCTGTTGAAGATAATGGTCAGGTTTCCTGTCGGTTGATTGACCGGCACGCAGTCAGCTATCATTTGAATCGTATATCATTATCTCACGTCATCCCAATAGGGATCACAGTTCGTCTGGTTTACACCAGCTTAAACTTAATTACCAGAAATCACGTGAAAAATGTTAAGAGCGGGGATACATACACTTTCAAGAAATAGAAATCAATGGAAGGGGCGGGTTGAATGGGGGATAGGTCAATGGGTCACGGAATCAAGTAAGTGACGTAATTGTCAGACAGAATTGTGGAATCGGATGTTTCGTAGGCCAGTTCTAGTTCAGAGGTCACACAAGTTTCTTTTGGATGCAAAGTTGCGGATCCATCAGGCGGATTCCAATCGCCTCTGCGATCGATAGTAGCCTGGTTCTTACCAGTCATGATCAGTTAAGAGGTACG